TTCAATTAGCATCCTTATGCTCGCATGTTTGCATTATTTATCTGTATTGCATGCACCGGGCTCGGCACATCATACTAACTACATAATACTTCAATTCCAACTTGAATACGTGTATCGAGTTGTCGCATTTCACATGCCATTTCCGAGCTTATTTCTAGTTGCATTTTGCATGTGTTGCATTAGCCATCTTAAACATGAACTAGGATCATGCATTTGATTACCAACTAGCTATTGTTTTGGCTCGGAGTACACTATAAGTGTTTATACTTTAGCATCTCGCATGTATGTGAGTGTTAACATGAAAGCATGCTTGCCATGAGGCTATTTGCTTATGTGATATAACTGCCTGAATGCCTGTGGGTGAAGGTTGGATTACTTGAATTGGAACAATTCATTGAAATCCATGTTTTAAGCCTACTTGCGAGTAGCAAACTTCAAACCATTTCCAAACAAATGGATATCCGATACTTTGTTCCAAATTAGGCGATCTAGTCTATACTTGTGTGTTGTGCACATCACATAGTAATTCTAGCTAATTAAACCGGAATAAGAACGCATGTGTTTTCAAAAACAAGATATCATGTTTAGTACAGGCCGATCTTTGATCGGGCGAGCGGGGTACCCAAGTTCCTGCGCCGAGGCAACTTTGGTGATGACGGACACGTGGCCTTAGGCACGAGTCAGGGTTTCCTAAATTCCCCCAAAATAAATTATTTAGGTGGCGACTCTGTATCTGGCAAAGTAGTCCATGTTTGACACTTCTTTACAAAAATCAGTTTTCCAAAATGATTTTCCGGATTTGGACTCTTTAGTGATTTATCAATCTCACATCGCACATTGTGAAATCAGATTAAGAACCGTAACATTTGAGTCCGAACTGTAGCATGAGGCCCTCGGGGCGTGTCTACACCTCGGGGCCAATGCCAGGCATTTCGTAAGACCTCCAGGCAAACACCTCAATGTTTGCTCTTAAGAAAGCCTCCAGTTCTTTTTCCTCTTCTTCGACTAAGCCTGAGCGGAGAAGGAAGAAGCATTCCACATCCTCTTGCTAGACAAGGATTTTCTTCAGGGCTTCTTCACTCTTTTCGGCTGGCACTTTGCCGATGTCTTCTAGGACCTCCACGTCTTCGTCTTCGATCTCTACTGTCTCTGGTTCTCGTATGCTGCAGGTGGATTTCATTACTGCCATGGAGCAGTTCTTTGCCTGCAGCTGATCCCCTCTGACCTCCTCTATCCCATGCTCTGTTGGGAATCGCAATAGCTGATGCAACGTTGAGGGAACAACCCCATTGCATGCAGCCATGGCCTTCCCAAGATAGCATTGTAGGGGGAGGGTGTGTCGATTATGGTGAATTCTGTTTTTATCTTTTTGGTTCTAGCCTGCACCTCTAAGCTTGCTGCTTCCAGTGGCCACGTCGGCGTTCCATTGAACCCGACCATTGGGCTGTTGGACTGCTCCATATCGTCTGGGTGAAGGCCAAGCTCCTTGTAACACCTGACATACATGATGTCACAAGAGCTGCCTTGGTCAATTAGGATGCACTTCACTTGGCACTCCCCAACCTGGAGGGATACTACCAAGGCATCATTGTGTGGATGCTGCACCATCTCAAGGTCGGCTTCAGTAAAGGACACTACTGGTCCCTGGCACTCCTCGGCCCGAGGTCTTTTCTCCCGGACCTGGTACACATGCTGCAAGTGCTTTACCTTCTGGGTCTCCCCCCGTATTTCATTTTCGTTGACCTTCGAGTGAATTGCATTAATTACCCGAGGTCCGCCTGCCTGCGGTTGCTGTGCTGGGAGAGGTGGAGCTGCTAGTGCCTGAGGCAGTCTTGCCTGCTCTTCCCTTGTCCTGGCTTGATCTACAAGGTCCCTTAAATGGCCTTGCCTTACCAGGTCTTCCAGGTGTGCTTTCAGAGCTCTGCAACCCTGAGTCAGATGCCCATCTTCATTGTGTAAGCACAATGCTTACCAAGGCTTCTTCCCATAAACTCTCCTGGTACCCTTGCTGGTGCTCTGAAATAGGGCTGGGTTCGGATTTTCTCTAAGACTTTGTAAACGGGAATTCGGAATACGGTTGTGACTGCCTGAGCAGCCCTTAATCTGATTTCTGGTTTGTTGTAGACACCATCACCTCGGCCTCGCTTCGGCGAGCCATTTTTCTTCTTTGGTTTCAGTGCCTTTGTTCCCGGCGTATCCTCCTCGGCCCTGGCATACTTCTCTATTATGGCCATTAATTCCTTTATACTTTTTGGCAGTGTTTTTGCCAATGATTTTCGGAGCAGGCAATTATGTTTTAGGCCGTTCTTAAATGATACAACCGCCACCTCTTGGTTGTATTCTGGTATTTGGTTGAATACCTCATAGCACCTTTTGGCATAGGCCCTCAGGCTTTCGTCCTCGCCAATTTTCATAGCCATCAGGGCATCCACCCTTAATGGCTGTAGTTTGTTCGTTACGAACCTGGCCACAAACATCTCGACTAGGCCTTCCCAGGTTTTCACAGTTCCTTTCGGCAACTTGTGAAACCAGTCTGATGCAATTTCTCCGAAGGATGAGGGGAACACCTTGCAAAGCAACGACTCGTTCTCGGTGTATAACGCTATCGAGTTCAGGTATAAACTGACGTGGAAGTTGAGGTCCGACTTTCCGTCGTAGATCTGGAATCTCGGCATGCTAAACCTCTTCGGGGCTTCGAATTTGTCCAATTCTACCGAGAATGGCGTTCTCGGTTTGACCGGGGAGGTTACCTCGGCATCTTGTTGCCTCCTCTATAGGTAATCCCTTAGGTCCTCCTTGGTCTGACCGGGAGCTCGGCTATCTCCTGACTTCAGCCTTTTGGGTGCACTGCTCTCAGCTTCATTGCGAGCCCTCTTCGACCTTTCTCCATTAGTTGCGTCAAAGCACAACTCCTGCCTTTGAACATGTCGATGTTCTTTGGGGTCTGCTTCCTTGGTGCGATGTGTCTTTCGAGATTCTTCCCTTCTCGACTCCCCTCGCTTGACCTCCCTTGAAGGCCGGTGAGAGTGTTTTTCGCTCCTGGTATACTGGGGGACTGTAGGGATTGTTTTCTGCCCATCTTGTCGGGCATCTTTCTTGGCTGCTGGAATCGGTGTATCTTGTAATGGGAACGGTGGCTGTATGACGTTGTTCTGCATCATGAAATTGACGACCGTTTGCAGGTCCCCCAATTTGTTCGCCATTCCCTTTACCTCATCGTCCCTCTGTAGGCATCTATCCTTCCATACCTAAAGGTCGTCCTCGTTGTAATACCCGTTTTGGTCCGTTTTCTTTGGTATGTCGCCTTCCTAGCTGACGTCCTTTCCTCCATGATTCTGATCACAAGTCTCTTCGTTGTAATTGTCTTCTTTGATGTCAAGGTCAACAGGTTTTCCACTCACAATAGAGGTGTCATCCCCAACCTTCTCTTTCTGTTCGTCGTTGGTCATCTATTATTCTTTCTTTCCCGCAGATGGCGCCAAATTGTGTGTGTCAATTTTCGATCACACTGCCAAATTAGTACTTAGCTAGAGAGCACTGGCAGAATAGATTAGTCCCGAACGACCTGCAACAGAAAGAAGAGATTCCGGCGGTGGTTCGTCCACCCAGGGGCACTCCGATGATCAAGTCAATTATCTCTCAAAGATAGCAAAACTACTTAACTCACTATTCAGAATATAAATTACGTACCTTAGACCCATGGGGGTGCCTCTCTTTTATAGCCAACACAATCCTAGTCTCAATAAAAGCCTAGTTCCAATAGACTTAGGATTACTGCTAATCTTGGACTCCCAGTAGGATTGGGATAAACTCTCTCAGAGTCTTATCTTTATCCAAACTGAAGCCTTCTCCCATTCTAGGACTCTTGTCCCTTACCCGCTTATCTCAGATTTCGATATCTTCGGAGATAAACCTCGGCCTAGCCGAGACAATCTCGGCATCATGACCAGGACATGTGGCACCTCGGTTGACACTTCGGCGTCACCTTGGCCACGTGTTGGTACTCGAAAAATATGTCCCCACAATATCTATATCCACAACTCCTGTGAAAGATATTATTTGTTTTTTTAAATATTTTTTTAGATAACAATTGGAAGAGGTAGTGAGAATACTTGAATAGTGGGAAGAGGGGTAAAGAGTGGTGCCACGTATTTATTTTATTTTTTTCAAAATTATGACAATTTAGGATTTAAGTTTTGGAATCTTTTGACCTAACACCTCCATTTGGTTATATATATAGTATAGATAGTATAGATTGATCACATTATTTACTAAAATATTATCTGTTATACTCTACTTCCACTTTTCCATTCTTTCCCATCATCTTCCCCACCTATGCACCTTTCTAGCCCACACCCAATTGACCACCCCCTCGTTAATTCACCCCACGTGCTGATCAAATCTCCCTTTCAAATCCACTACTTCCCTCCACATTTGGATTTACAACATCTTCACGAATGACGCATACATACCTACAATAATTTCTCATTTTGGTCTGTTGGATATAAAATTAAATTTTGAGATTTGGTTGATTTTGCAGTAAAGATAATTTTGAAATTAGGTTGGATTTGGATTTGCAAATCAAAGTAGAACATATTTTTTTTAGTGACTAAAGTGAGACAATTAAAGTCAAATCTAATAAAAATATAATATTTTTTTAATCTTTAACAATATTTTATGAACTAACATTTTTTTAGGAATTTAATATAATAGACTTGAAATTTTAAATGTTCAATACAAAATCCCACTATAAACAAAAAAGGACCCATTTTTAAGTCAAATATTTTAGATCACAACAAATAATAAAGAAAGAAAAAGCAAACAAATAAAAGGAAAATGGAGCATGCATGATCAAATTCATCACCATTAACACATTAGTAATCATAGATTCTAATAATTAATAACAAAAAGCCGGTAAATTTGTTTTTTAATCTTTCGTTTTAACAATTATCAAGAACTTCAAAGAACATTGAAGAAACTCGATGACGATGAGTGAAAATTCAACTAGTACTATAAAACAATGCCATCCAAATGCCAGTAAAAGCCTCAGCAATAACCCTGTAATGATGATGCGAATTCAGCGATAAAAAACACTCCAACAGCTGCTCCAAATCTCTCGCCTCAAACATTTGCTTCTCTAATATCATCGCCATCATCGATCTCTTCAAATCCTCATATGGGTCCTCTGATTTCTTCACCATCACGAAGTTCTCCTTCACTTTTCCCTCCATCGCAAACGACAGTATCAGCTTCTTCAACCCCAACAACCTTACTGGCCAGTCAATCTCTAGCGACCACACCTTCCCTCCGTTCGAAACGTTGCATTTCGCTCCCTTCATCCTCTGCTTGTGATTTCGTGAAAACACAACTAGCGTTGCAATCTCTTCTTCTTCCTCTTCTCTCTCGTCGCCAAACAACCCACTGTCGGCCGAGGAAGTGCTAATACGGTGTCGTGTCGTCGCTTTCTTTTTTTTGCTCCGTCGTTTCTTCTTCACTGTCGTATGCGGCAGAGGAGGGAAGAGGTCATTGTCGGAATCGCCGGAGATGGAGGAGTTGTAGATTTCGCGACGCGTCATCTCATCCCACTTGAATTTCGGTGATTCAGTGAGGTCGTCTTCAGAGGTGTACTGTGTGCCAAACCCACAACCGACAAATGAGAAAATGGAGGACACTTGAAGGAGGAGCGGTGGGGTTTGCAAGGGGGTGGGGTAGTCGGTGGGTAGTCAATGAAGACAGGGTTTGGGGAGAGTTGGGGGAATGAAATGATAGGATTTTCTCGGAAGTTGGAAGGGTTTTTGGAGCGACAGAATTTTAAGGACGAGATGATTCGGGAGATCAAAACCTTGAATCATTTTGCCATTGTTTTGTTTTTCTTTGTTGTATGAGAAAGTGGTTGCTTGTATGTACGGATTAACTTTTACAATATTTATATATAGACAATAAAGATGAGTCAACAAGAAAGGAAAATATCATATTAAATGTTAAATATTATTGTGTATTTTTATTTTAATATTTAATATTATTGTGAAAACCCGCATTTAATTATTCTTAAAAGAAAATAAATTAATTAATTAATTTTATCCAGAGTCTATCTGAAATATATATTAGTGTAAAAGTTAGTTTTAAATTAACTCAATTCAATCACTAACAAAGACATTATTAAGAATAATAATTTTGTAGGTATTCAATATTTATTGTTTATAAATTATTTTAATTAGGATTCAACATGATAATTATTCTTACTAAATACATTGGTTAAAGATCTTAGTGTATCAATTTTAAGCAACCCACGCAAATACACAATTATAGACATAAATATAACAAATTTTTTTTTTTGCAAATTTTGGTGGAAACCTTGCCACATGGTTGTTTGCATGTTAATATAGGGAAGAAGAGCTCATTATACTCTTGAAATTGAGGGAAAGTGACTACTTAGAATGAAGAGAGAGAGAGAGAGAGAGAGATAGACAGAGACAGAGAGAGAGTTATAGCGATCCCGATTTTTTCCTCGTCATTTATCATATTCCGGACTCGAGTTCCATGGTTGTATGTCGTTGTCTATACCTTATTTCCATCCTTTACTCTTTGAATTTGAGTTTTGGAATGTCTTGGGCTTGTTTAGAATAGGTTGGTTGCTAATTGGTCTAGAACCTTGTTGCCCGAAATTTTGGTATTCCGCTCGAGCGGGTCCTTTTGCCCTCGAGCAGGGTTCGCAATCCTTCAGCACTTTGTGCGTTTGCAAAAATACTATAGAGGTGTTTTTCACGCTCGAGTGGTGTTTTTTACGCTCGAGCGGTGTTTCTTACGCTCGAGCGGCTGTCTGTAATCTATAAAATACTGGACGAGTGTATTCTACGCTTGAGCGGGTCTCATTGCGCTCCAGCGGATGGTGCCTTGCTGTTATGTCTTGGCGCTCGAGCTGCCTTTATTGTGCTCGAGCGGGTCTAATTTTTGTGTCTGACGCTTGAGCGCCAAAGTCTCCGCTCGAGCGGACTGTACATATATCAAATCATGTAAGTGACTTTTTAAATCACTTTTTCTATCCTTTCTCTCCCTAAAACTTTCCAAAAACCTAAATCCACACCCTCTCTCTCTAAAATACTCCATCTCTATACTTTTGGACCTTGATCAAGTGATCTCTACACCCTTGTGTCTTCATTAAAAAGTTGGAGCATCTCAAGATCTACCTTTTGAACCGAATAGAGTGGGGTTTCGGCATCTTTGGAGTTCATTTCTTGCTTGGCTCATCTTCTCTTCTTGAGGTAGGGATAATCTACTCATTTCTATGAGTTTTAACATAAATATTGATCATTTGTATAAATGGTTGGTTTGGGTGAAGTTAGGGTTTGAGTTTAAATGTTTAAAAGAGGGGTTTCCTATTGTTGGGTTCCATTTGTATGTGAGGTCTTGAAAATAGTATTGTTTTTGTGAAATGGGTGAGATTTGACCTTGGAAGCAATATTTGAGAAAATAGGGAAAATGCCCTAATTTGAATTATAAAATTTATTTGCATAAATAATGAAAATGATATGGAAATATGAAATTGGTTTGAAAATTATGAAATTGAAGGAAATTGTGATTAAATGGTGTAGTTGGATTGATGAATCATTCACCTATAGAAAATGTGATAAATTATCTATTGAGAAATTTATTTATCTGTTTAGATATATCTGTTTTGGGCAATCGGTGGAGGATAGCCATGATTGTTGTAGAAACTGCATGTTGATTAGGTATATTGAAACTAATCAATTGGAATATGTCATTGAATATGACGGTTGGATGTAAAACATTGTATATGTGATTGAATTGGTCATTGTATATGACAACGTATTTAAATACATTGTATATGTATCTTTGTTTAGGAGGAGATAGGGGATGTACTCCATTGTTTGGGAGGAGATAGGGGATAGACTCCATGGATAATTAAGTTGGCCGGAGTGTCTAGGGTGAAAGTCCCGAAATCTTATTTATATTTGGGTGCCGGTTCCCTCGAACATAATTCTGTAAAATGGCAAGATATGGAAGTGTATAAATGATGTTTATGATTTGAAGTGTTGATGAATGAGTTGTAGTCTCATTTTGAATTGTTCATATGATAATGTATTATGTCATGAATTGACTTGGGTAAACAACTGGAAGTGAATTGAAATATGGGCGCCAATGTTGATTGATTATGGAAAAGGTTTAAGATGGTTTATGAGTGTTGAACATTTATCGAATGCTAATGTTTTAGTTAATTATCATATATTGTTTAGCATATCTCTACTGGGCTTTGGCTCACCCTACTTGGGACACCATTTTTCAGGTACAAAGGACATGCCACCTCCAAGGTCTTAGCTTGGGAGGTTTAGGAGTTGAAGACTCCTTTTTGATATTTTGTTTGATGTTAAATGTAAATCCAAGCCGAGGGCTTTTATGTATAGAGTTAGAACTCTTCTTTTGTTGTAACCAAGTGATAACTTGGAAAGCTGTAAGCCCCTAGGACATTTACTTTGTTGATAACATGTAATATCTTTTGTAAAGAAGATTCTGATGAATGAAAATATAATTTTTCTACTATGATTAAGGATCTCATTAATGATTGTATCATGCTATATTTTGAGGGCGTTACAACTTGGTATCAGAGCGTACCGGGTTTGAATACGTTGGGTACGTGGGAAGTAGTTAGTACCACAATGGGTTTGTCTCGCTTGTTAGAGACTTAAGTGTAATGTTATGTGCTTATGTGGTAACATATTTATGTGACTATATGGGTATGTGATTTAGTTTCTAGGATGTTGATCGGGTCTATGGGTTTTTGGGAGTCCTATTGGAAAGGCACTTGATCACTGCCGTTTCTAACTGAAACTCTAGCAACGCCACGGGACGGTCATTATCCGAAAATAAAATTCGTATGTGTTTATGTGATTATGTGCCTATGTGGAGTGAATTACAGTTGTCCATTGTATTAGGACGCGAGTGAGTTAGCATCGGCACATTTGTGAATGTGCTAATTTTTTTTTTCTGTCATCTTTATTAGGATATCAAGACGAGGTCGTGGTGGTAGGCGTGGTAAGCCTAGGAGGCAGGAGATGCCTATACCAGATGAGATTCTGGCGCAGGAAGAAGGAGTGGGTCAGGCCAATATGGCCGAACCAGTTGGTCAGTAGGCCATCAGTGTTTTAGCCCGTGAAATGGTTGAAGCATTGAGGGAATCCATGGACATTCTCAGGGTTGAGAATCAAGTCTAGGCCCATGTAGCTGAAGCTGGGCCGTCTTTTCTGAAGAGGGGGTTTTTCCGGTCGAATCTGGATGAATTTTTGGGGGATCCCAAAGAGCCACTGAAGGCTGACGAGTGGCTAGAGCAGATGACGAAGACGTTTGAGATGCTTGACATCGAAGACGGGGGCTTGCGAGTGACCTTAGCGTCTTTCCAGTTGAAGGGAGATGAGGGTCAGTGGTGAAAGTATGTGCGAGGGCGCATTGGTGGGACTTGAGAGGCCTTTGTTGAAGCCTTCCAGGACAAGTATTTGCCGGCTACGGTGAGAGAGAAGTTGAGGGATCAGTTTTCTTAACTCAAGCAGTTGAATTCACCAGTGGCGGAGTTCGAGGCCACCTTTACTAGCTTGTCTAGGTTTGCACCAGAGTTTGTGGCGACTGAGGAACGTTGTTGTCTAGAGTTCGAGAAGAAATTGAGAACCAAACTCATGTTCCGAGTTGCCGGGTCCATGATTAGAGATTATGGGCGCCTTGTGGAGGCTGCTGGCCATCTTGAGACTATCATGCATGTAGAGGAGGAGAGGATGAGGGGCTCTAGGAGGAGTCAGGATGGCCAGGGAGACGGTAAGAGGCAGAGGGGTTCTAACCCTCAGTAGTCCCAGGGCGTGCATTCGAGATCTACCTTTCTAGTACCGAGTTCGGGTTCTGGGAGAGGCGGTCAGAGAGACATCACCTGTTACAAATGTGGCCAGTTGGGCCACAAGTCTCCATCTTGCCCACAGAGGGGAGGAGGGCAGCGAGCAACATCATCTTCGGCTTATTCTTAGGGCCAGAGTCAGGGCAGAGGCTAGCCGCTCACTTGTTATCAGTGTGGGCAGACAGGACACCTGAAGAGGTTTTGCCCACAGTTGGGTGGCACACCTGGTGTGTTTGGTTCGAGATAGACACAGAGTCATCAGTCAGTTTAGGCCTTGAGGTTCAATCAAGGAGCCTCCTCGGCTCAGTCTGTGCAGCAGTCTTATGCTCCGAGAGGTGAGCAGGTAGATCAGAGACCTTCAGGGCGCATGTATACTGTTACAGCGTCAGATCTTGTACCGGTTCCCTCTGTAGTGAGAGGTACCTTTTTGTTTTGCAACTCGGTTGCTAATATGTTAATTGATACGGGTGCATCCCACTCTTTTATATCTTCTGCATTCGCATCTGTTTTAGGGTTGGAGTTGGCACAGTTAGCATCTCCTATTTGTGTTGTCACCTATTGAGGGTGAGATGGTTTTGAAACAGGGATGTCGGGGCCATGATATAGAGGTCGCCGATCGTCGGCTTCCCTTTTCTTTTGTATTGATGGATATGTGTGGGTTTGATGTGATTTTGGGTATGG